ATATTAATGTTTTTAGGGGAAAATCACTAATAGGCCACTAGCAGGGACTGTGAGGAGAGGAAAGACTACTAAAGAAGACAAATTACTGGAAAAGAATCTTTTGAATGATCAAAAGCAGTGTGCGGAGCACATAATGCTGGTTGACTTGGGAAGAAACGATGTGGGAAAGGTTTTGTGCTATTTTAATGCGTCTCTCTTCAATACATTTTTTTGAGAAACATGAAGTATAAAGTCATTTCATAACAAAACATTAGTTCCAAGATCATTCACATCAATTTAGTAAATGATGGAAACACATACTCATTACTCTCTATGAGCTCATTTCCTCCATGAAGATGAAAAACCTCTATGTTTTAATCATCAAAAATTCAAAATGCACTGTGAATAGCATTGGACTCCTCTTGTATTCTTTGGAGTGCACACACAATATATATATATATATATATATATATATATATATATATATATATATATATATATATCATATTCTTGCTATTATTCGGGTTGATATACTTGTATCATGAATGTGGTGTACAGATTTCTTATTTTTCATGGTCCTTCTGTTTACTAATTTCAACAAACATTTGGTTCTTTATGCTAATTTGTCTGAAGCTGACTGTTAAAAGATTCAGAATACCCAGGATCTTATTAATTTTTGAAAAAAAGTTATTATTATTTCTCAGCGATAATGTCGCTTATTAATAAGGTTCTTGGAAAATGCCAAATGATTATATTTTTCACGCTTTAATTTAATATGTGTGAAGGGACCTAATCAAACTAATTGTTTCCCTTGCTATTATCATTTTCACTAATGTAACATTTCAATTCAGGTTTCTAATTCTGGTTCAGTGAATGTTGAGAAACTCATGAACATTGAACGGTATTCTCATGTCATGCACATCAGCTCTACGGTTAGTCTTTCGTCATCTCAATATACATCTTATATGTAGGACCAAAGTCTTTACTCAATTACTGATGTGATTCAATTTATAAATACGAATTGCTAAACACTGGGAGAAATTTGGTAAGGTTCTTATTAGATTTGGTCTGCTTTTTAGCTCTTACATAATAGCACTGTTTACCAAACTTTGCAGGTTACTGGAGATTTACATCACGAGTTAAGTAGCTGGGATGCTCTGCGGGCTGCACTCCCAGTTGGAACTGTTAGTGGGGCACCAAAGGTTTCTTGATAGTCTTTATCTTTAGTATGTTTTATGGTTTCAAAGCACAAAACAGGTTACAGGGTTTCATTTCAATCACCCTTTATTTGGTTTTAGAAACATTCATGTATCAACACATAGACTGAGCCCTCAAACACCTTTCCCTCCAAAACCCACTGAAACACTCCATCCAAACATACCCTTAAGGTATGACAGTATCCTTGAGAGTATGTTTGGATGGAGTGTTTTTGAGGCTCTGGAGAAGGCTTTGAAGAGCTTAATCCCTATATCTTGATAAATATAATCTTTGATAAGTGGAATGTTTCTTAAAACAAGGTAAAGGTGATTCAACTCTTATACGATCACATTTTATCTTAGTCTTTCATCTACTAAAAAGATGGAATGAATATCAAGATATATACTCCAAATTCCAAAACCCTTAGCTTGTGGTTGCTCTAAAATAGGTAAAGGCCATGGAGTTAATTGACGAGCTAGAAGTAACAAGGCGTGGGCCATACAGCGGTGGGTTTGGGGGGATATCCTTTTCAGGTGATATGGACATTGCATTGGCTTTAAGGACCATAGTTTTCCCCACCGGGGTGCGCCATGACACAATGTACTCTTACAAGGATGCTAATACAAGACGAGATTGGGTGGGCCATATCCAAGCCGGGGCAGGTATAGTTGCTGACAGTGATCCCGGCGAGGAGCAGAGAGAGTGCGAGAACAAAGCTGCAGCCCTTGCGCGAGCCATTGATCTCGCCGAGTCATCATTTGTTGAGAAATAGTAAGTTATCTTTGACTAATGCTCTATATAGGTGACCACTGCTGAGGTTTTTACCACTTAAATAGGTAGTTGTTTGTTGTCTTTATACCTATATATATAAACTAATGAATGCTTCTTGGGATCTGGAAATGCAAGCCTTACACGTTTTGTGTCTCATCTAGAGAGAGTTCATGCGTAGACAAAAACTTGGTGGACTATTTAAATGCTAGTACTAAACTTTACGGTGCGCTAGAGAAGAGCAAAAGATCACTATTATTATAGAAGACTCCACTATTCTTATACACCCTCTATCCCTGAAAACCCTATCCCTGAAAACTCTTCTTGTTTTGACTTTTTTTGTTAAACAGTGACACTCTTTGACTACAAATTGTGAGAAAAATATATTGGATTATAATATAAATTAAATGTAATTGAGTTCATCTTAGGATATAGTTTTGATGTATCAAATTTTTATGACACTTTTTTATTTAGATTGTGCTTAATTTGTGGTCAAAGATTATCACTTTTAACCAGAAAAATAAAAACAAGAGTTTTCAGTAGGGGTGAGCATTGGGTCGGTTCGGTCGGTTTCGGGCCAAAACCGAACTAACCGGAAAAAAATTTGATATGCAATAACCGACCGAAACCAAACCGAGTTAGGGCTAAAACCGTACTAACCGAAATTGAAAATAACCGACCCGGTTCGGTCGGTTTTTAATAACCAAAAATAATCAAAATAATTTGTATTTTTTCATAAAAATCATCTCCCAAATCCTAAAGAAATCTTAAAGAAATACTACGTAACAGATTTAATGAAAAAAATGTGTGAGCAATTCAACATGGTTTACAAACCATTATGACTTACTTAGAGGAGGAAAACATATGTCAAGCTTAAAAAGATTAGGCTGCTGGACAAAGATGAAATCTCCAAATTGATAGTCCAGGTTTGGGGAAGAAACTTCGGCTGCAAGACGACTTAGCTTGGGGAAGAAGTTCAGCCGCCGCTTCACTGCTTCAGCCTTAGCTAGTGCATCTTAATTCTCAGGTTTGGGGAAGAAGGTTCCCACGCAAATTGGCAGATCAGTGGGTTGTGTAGGTTTGATGCTTCAATGTGGAGTGGGCTGATCTTATTTGGGCTTTTAAAAATATATATTACTATTAATTTGTTAAATTTTTATATCGGTTATTCGATTAATCGAATAAACCAATGATCATAACCGACACCCAACCGAAAAAACCGAGATACCCGAAATTCTTATCATGCAAAACCGAAACTGAAACTGATTTTTCGGTTATTTCGGTTTTTGATTTTCGGTTTTGCGGTCGGTCCGATTAATTTGCTCACCCCTAGTTTTTAGGGACGGAGAGAGTAGTAGACTGGACTAGTATTTTTTAAAAACCGGTCCTAACCGGTTTGGTCTTCATACTAAAAACAAAGATCTTTTGAGAGCATTGTCCCACGTGGTAGGGGTGTTCATTCGGTAAAACCGTACCGGAGTGAAATTTCGGTAAAATTATTTTTGAACCGTATACCGAACCGTAATAAAATAATGTTATTAAAACGTTATCAAAACACACAATTCTGATCCTGTAAAAGAAATTGAAATCTAAAAAAAAATCAAAATACGAAAAGTTAAAATGAAAAACTAAAAGTGCAATATAAAGAGTTCTTATATATATATATATATATATATATATATATATATATATATATATATATATATATATATATATATATATATATATATATAATGTATATATATATATACACACACACACACACACAAAGTATTCTATCAAAATGTTTAAAAGGTCTAACCTTTAGCCATCGGTAATTTATCGTCCTACGAAGTGAGGTCAATGTATTGATCATTTAGAATAAATGAAACAAAAATTTGAAGAATAAAGAGTCAAATAGTAAGCATAAAAAAATTTAGTTAGATATGGAATATTTTGTTAGAGATTAAAACTTTGAATAAAAGGAAGGATAAGATAATGTAGACAACTATATGTGTGGCTAAGACTCAAGGTTAGAATTCAAACTTCAAAACATTTAATATAATAAAATAGAGTAATTATTCGGTACTCGGTAAAAACTGAATTACCGAATTATTAAGCAAAACCAAACCAAAAACCGAATTTTAGAAAAAGGAAAAACCGAATACCAAATCAAATTATTTGGTTTGGTTTCGGTACGTATCAAAATTTCAGTTTCGCTATGGTTCGGTCAGTTTATCGAATTGTGCACACTCCTACCATCTGGTTCAGTCTATAGTTTGATCTAGTCAGGCTCATAGTCTCAACGTTGGTGCAATGGGTTTTTTATTTTAAAAAACTCAACTTATAGCGCAATAGTGATATATTTTGATTAGGTAGTTTTACTAATGCTTAGTTTGGTTTTTAGAAAAAGGAAAAACCGAATACCGAATCAAATTATTTGGTTTGGTTTTGGTACGTACCAAAATTTTGGTTTCACTACGGTTCGGTCAGTTTATCGAATTGTGCACACCCCTACGATCTTGTTCAGTCTATAGTTTGATCTAGTCAGGCTCATAGTCTCGACGTTGGTGCAATGTGTTTTTTTATTTTAAAAAACTCAACTTAAAGCGCAATAGTGATATATTTTGATTAGGTAGTTTTATTGATGCTTTAGTTATACACTATTATAGGATATTATGACAATAAAATGACATCATGGCAAGATTGACATGTCTAAGTTAGAGTTTTATGAAGTATCTTAGTATAGTGAAGTATCTTGTTATTATCTCTTTTAAAGTTTTTCTTAAATTGGCAAGGATCGTTAGACACTGAACCCCAATATCATCTTATGAGATTAATCTATTTGAGGCCCTAAAGTGGTTCCTTTCCTCTCGTCCTGCTCTTCATTTGTTGACTTGCAACGAGATGAAGAATATGCGTAAGGAATATTGTTGCCAATGAGCGAATTGAAAAGGGGGTGGGGGTTTAATGAGATAGGATTCATTTTCGAATCTTACTAAACACCATAGACGCCTTAAATAAACCAATGTCATCATACGACATTGGTGTTCAATGCCAAAAAGATCCTCATTGTTCTTAAACAAAGATCTTTCTTGCGGACAAGAAGCACCGGGGAGGAGAAGGGGCTCAAGCTTGGACGAATTATCCCTTGGATCAACATTTCTCGGACCTGCCTTTCAATCTCTGTCTTCTAGAAGTATGGATAACGGTAAGGGCGGACGTTGATTGGACGGGTACCTGGTGTGAGGTGGATACGGTGATCCCAGAACCGAGGCGGTGGCAGCCCTGTGGGTGTCCCAAAAACAGCCGCATGGGCCTGGAGAAGAGCAGTAATGGCCGTGGGTAGATCCTCAGGAAAATTGGGCGGTTCGGGGACTGTCGGTGGCTGTACTGCCTGGGGGGTACCAGTTCATATAAGTCCACTGGAGTGGAAGACAAAAGCATGGCACTTAGTCGATTGAAAGAGACCGACCGTGGTTCCGGCGTGTCGCCCCGTAGCGTGATGGTTTCGCCGTTCCAAACAAATTCCATGGTGAGTTTGGCATAATCATGTGAAACTTTACCCAACGTTTGCAACCATTGCACCCCAAGCACAATATCCGGGCCGTGAACCTCAAGCAGAAACAAATCAATCTCAAAGAGGTGGCCTTGGAGGGACAACGGGGTGCGAGGACAATTATAAGAGCACCGGAGCGAGTCACCATTACCCACATAGACACGGAAGGGCGAAACAGGGTGAAGCACCAGGGACAGGCATTCCGCGACGCCGGGATGGATGAAATTGTGCGTGCTTCCGCTGTCGAGAAGGACTTGGACTGCCTTGTCATTAACCGAACCTGCCAATTTAAGAGAGCGGGGGTTCGGGCTACCCGACATGGAATGAATGCTCGAAACATCCCCCGTGATAACGGCAGTAGAATCGGGCATGTCCGGTGCAGGTTCTCTGGTCGGGGACAGTTCTTCTTCATCGTCCGGACCCATGAGTGCCAAGAAACGCCGACGACAATTATGGCTACGGTCCCACTTTTCTTCACACCACCAACAAAGGCCTTTCTTGCTACGTTCCACCTTTTCCGCCGGAGAGACTGTCACGACTGGAAGGTTGCCGGGAAAAGGGCGGTCCGGCGGTTTGGGTAGCCCCGGCGCTGTGCGGGTTTGGGGTGGTGGCGTGGGTAGTATGCTGGCAGAGGACGGTGGTGGGCGATTCGGCCAAGGGCGACGTTGTGACGTCCCAAAAGTCACTGCGGCCTCTTGATGACATGCGGACAGCTCCCGTGCCAAAGCAAAGGCAGATTGGAGAGTGGTCGGGTTGCGCAGATTAAGCTCTCGCTGAACCGGTTGTTTCAAGCCAGCCACAAACATGGAAATCAGTGTCGCCTCAGGAACCCCAGAAACCTTATTAAGCAAGGATTCAAAAGTCGTTTGGTAGTCCAAAACTGATGATGTCTGAGTTAACTTGGACAGCAAGCCAACATAATTCTCATAGTAGTTTGGATCGAACCGTTGCTGGACGGCGACCAAAAAATCTGCCCAAGATGCGCCGTGTGTGTTGGACTGATAGTAGTGAAACCAATCAGATGCCGGGTGGTCAATCAACATGGCGACCAGCTGGAGCCGTTCAGGCTCAGGTGTGAGAAAATAATCAAAATATTTCTGGATACGGAAGATCCAGCCCGTGGGGTCGTCGCCGTTGAAACGGGGGGCGTCAACTCGCATACGGGGCACCGGATCGGCGTTGCCGGCCGTGGTACGAGAGGGTGGTGGACGCCAACCTGTGCACGGCTGCCGGTTGGGCACTGCTGTCTCGTTGGGTTTGGCGGCAGCGAGCTCGGTTACCCGCGCCTTAGTAGCGTGTAGATCTTTTCTGATGTCGGTGATAGCATGCATAATATCTTCGAGAGTCAACGCCGATGAAGGGGTGTCGGAGGAAGCCATGAGAACGAAGATGAAAGCACCAATTTGATACGGCGAAGCAGCTTCGATGTCCGGCCGGAGCACAAGGCGTGCGCGGCTAGGGTTTTGGGGAAGGGAAAGTGACGTGAAAGGGAAGAGAATTTAGAGAGAAAAAGAGGTTTTAGGAGAAAGGGTTTGTTATTTTCGTAAGGAAAAGAGAGGTTAAGGCTCCCTTAAATAACAACAACTTTCCCAATCCTACTTGAACTAGGTTATCTATCCTGTCGGTTCAAAGAAAAGCGACGAGGTAAAGAACCGAAAAGAAACCCTCGAAGGAGCTTATAATTTGCTCACCTAAAAAAATCTAGAGTACTAAAATAAATGAATTGCAAAATAAATTAAATATAATCTTGATAACGTCTTGGAGGTCGAACGGTCCTCTTTGGTCGCGCATGCGGAACAACGGTATCACCCGGGTCGTCTTGCATGCCGGGTACGTCCACGTCACCCGTATCAGTGTGGCAGTTGCAATATAATATTATAATGTGATGAGTGTGGTAGTATAACAATGACAGTTTGAATTCCTATTTTGATCTTAAACGACTTAAAACTCCTATATTCGTATTTTCATCATTTTTTACTCTTATCCATGGAGTTTTTCCTTTTAATTTTAATATTAATGAAATATTTATCTGCTATTTTCATTTTAAGTAATTTTAATTCATAAGATAAATGAGAAAAAAACATCCCTCCATCCTAAAAACAAGGCTTCGAGCTTAACTTGGCACAAAATTTAAGAACATTGAAAATGTATAGTTCAAAATAATGCACATGAGAGAGAATAATTATGAACCACTCAAAGTCCTCCATAATTTTTTTGGGACAGATAGAGTATAAGAGAAAAAATAGAAAATGATGGACTTAATTCACAACTGTGAAAGGAACTGAGATATAGTGAGAAACAAAAAAACTGACATGATACTAAGTGACAGTAAGTAATGGGGTATGATCAACACTTTATGCTTAAGGCTTTGTTCTCTTCTCGTCATCTGATTTTTTTAAAAGTATAATTTGATGGTTATCTATTCTTTATTTAAAAAGAGGTGAATTCTTTACCATGGAATTCCCGCCCATGTGTTTTCAATATAAATGGTAGGCGTTCAAGTTAAATGGTTAGTGTGCAAAACTGTTTTAAATACCTCTTTGACCGTGGGTAACATAAAAGGAAACAAAGATAATTTAGCATATACATCATACCGTGCAATTTAGCATACCTGACTTCGGCAGTGCGTGCATGGTAACAAAATGGTATTGTGTAATAATAATAATAATAATAATAATAATAATAATAATAATAATAATAATAATAATAATAATAATAATAATAATAATAATAATAATTAACATAATAAATATTAATTGTACCGTGTATAATAAAAAAAGTAACATGTGAATCTTTAATTTTTAATTTTTTAATAATAGTAAGTTAATAATTAAATTAATACCTTATTTGACTTAATTATAGGGCACATCAATAAATAGCTTATTTGACTTAATTATGCTACTTTAATTTGCTTCCATTTTAATTTACTTCCATTACTAAAATATATATTTGAAGTACGTTTTCAACTATGTCCTTCGAGCAAAACATTGAGATCTTAATCCCTGTAAAAACTATTGAGAGGGTAGTTTTTCGTTAATATGAATCTAAAATACGTACACATTAAAAATGTTTTAATGATGATAATATATACTTTTTCCTTTGAATTATTAGGTTGATCGAATACATGCATAGATCAGAGATTCAAATAAACATTGTTTCAAGGATGATTTGAAAGAAAATATTGTTTATTTACTGATGATAGTCAAAGTACTACACAATTATCAAACAGCGAAAACTACCAATTACTCTTTCATGCTGTAATTCTTTAGCAAGACGAAGCTTCAAAAAATTTTAGAAAACAAATTTCTCAATTTTCTTTACAACTTTATGGGATTTGGAGAAATTCAAAAAATGACTCTTGGTGACATAGTGCTTTTAATTGCTAATCATCATTTAGATTATTACAATTAAATTATTTACACATATTTAAAATGTATATTTAATACATCTGTCTTATATTTCAATACTTGCAGACGTAACTGGGAAAGTTGTTAGTCGAAACTCACTCGAAACCCATATGGTAAAATAGGCACCAGAGCAAATGATGGAAGTTACATTGGAGGACCACAAGGATGTGAGAAATTATATTCAAATATTCATGACTTTTTTTCCTAAGAATAAATTATATATAAATTTTATTAAATATAATCATAAAGTATTATTCCGATGTATTAATAATCCTACTTCGTGAATCATTAATGTTTTATTTTTAAATTTTAATGTGTAGGGGAATTCGGTTAAATTGTACATTGTGGGCATATCATATTGATTTGGTGATCGATGATTTCAACGAAGCGGAATCATAATCTCCCATTCTGGTGATGCAAATGGTAAAACCTACGTTATACAATGATATTCGATCTTATTATATTATTTCAATATAAATTTGAAAATATTTGACACAAAAATTTAAGTCTAATGGTTAATGTTTTTAATATCTTAGAACGAGTGTCAATTACAACATTTTATAGTTTTAGGGGCAATCTCTGAAACATGTTAGAGTATTATTACGAAAACCAGTATTTAGTCATAGACAACTATATGTTGCAGTTTCAAGAGTAACAAATCATAGTGGCTTGAAGATTCTGATATGCAACGAAGACAATGTTTCCACAAATTGTATGAATAATGTAATTTATATAGAAGTCTTTCAAAATTTAGAAAGCAAAAAATTTTTGTATCTTAAAATAATAAAATCTCTATATTCTATGAAATATCATTTTTTATCATTCAAAAATGATCTTAATTTAGTAATATAAATATGACCCGTGTAACGCACGGGTGTGATACTAGTTTACTTTAAAATGTTGTTGATCTAATCTAATGGAGTATCTAATTTCAATAAAAATACGGAGTAATACAAAATGAATTGAAAAAATAATTAAGCTGTATGGGGCTATGAGCCCCATCCCAAGGGTCTCTTAGATCCCGTTACACGGGTCATTTTAAAAGAAAAGTACTCCGTAAATTAGACTTGGTTACTTGGAATCTAGCTCGGTCTTATACCCATTATCGTCTTCTCCGAGTTTTCAATCAGTTAATCATTGCAGCGCACATTCCAGCAAACGCAGTGAGATGCTGGCGTTGAAGAGATTCTGCCGATCGGTAGCGGGTATGGATCCTGACCCGTCCGAGTACGACGGGGTCGAGTTCTGGTCCAACCCGGAGCGAGCAGGGTGGCTCACCAAGCAGGGCCAGCACATCAAGACCTGGCGCCGCCGTTGGTTTGTTCTCAAGCAGGGGAAGCTTCTCTGGTTCGAAGACGACCTCTCCGCCTCCAGGCGGGACGCCGTCCCCCGCGGCGTGGTCCCCGTGGCCAAGTGCCTCACCATCAAAGGCGCCGAAGACGTCCTCCAGAAGCCCCTGGCTTTCGAGCTCTCCATCGGAAACGATGATCCTATATATCTCATCGCCGATTCCGAGAAGGAGAAGGAGGAATGGATCAATTTCATCGGGCGCTCCCTCGTTCAGCACTCCAGATCTGTCACGGATTCCGAGGTCGTCGATTACGACAGCCGGCAATAGGTTATTTTAACAAGGTAATGAAAATCGATCATTATTTGTCTCCTTCAATCTCAGATTTGCAGCTCCGCCATACAAATCTGTCCAGTTTGAAGCATTAATTCACTATTCTTCAAACTAGGCTAAGATAAATTGATTTTCCATATTAATTTTTTCTAGGTTTTTCTATATCGCTCTTGCTCAAACCCATGCTATTGATCTTCAATTGCTTACTACAGGTTTTGTTGAGAAATTAATCATCTTCATTCTATGGTTGCGAGTGGATTAAACCTTACAATACCATTGTACTCATCAAATTGAATAAATCATCTTCAAACCACATCTCAACAAAAATTGAATATGATTACAAATGATTGCAACAATAGTCGATTACACGCACTCCGTGTAATCTAATTTTGTGTAGCTACCCCAAACAAATATCTTATTTTTCTACTTTCAAATCTTTACATTCACAGTGTGTTCAGGAGAATCTAATGCCGAAGAACTCCTTTATCAGTTCGTGTATGAAAGGGCCTTGCCATTCGTTAAACTTTGGCATTCATTCTATCAAGAACTCATTTATGAATGCTGAAGCTGAAGTTTGCAATATGATTTTCAGATAATCTGTGCCTAATGGACGAATGTGCAAAACGCATGAGGTGTCGCTCCTTGGTGTGCCATGCTGACCCTTTGTGAGGTGGCCGTTGTTTGAGAAGTACGTCAATCTGTTCGTGCTAGCTTTCTTCATTGTTTTGCTGTCATCGTATCAAATCTGATGTGAAGGCTGGTGTAAGAATGTGTTTTGATTATCTAGAATAGGTCTAGTAGTTCAACTAATGAAACAATTGTGCTGTTGTGAAAATGTATGTTCAACTAATGAAACAATTGTGCTGTTGTGAAAATGTATGTTGTGCCTATTTCCACCTTAAACTGAGAGGCCTTCACAGCTTGAATGGATCTAATAGAAAACAGATATTTTTATTAATCACTTTTCTTATTTTGTTACTTTTATACGCAGCAATTGTTATTCTAGTATGATTAGGATTCTATTGCATTTTTTACATATATACTCATGTAATGTAAACATCATTATTCAATGACACCACTTATTATCAAAAGCTGATTCTTTTAAAAGGAAAAGCATCTGGGTATTTCTCTAGAATGGAGAGCGCTCGGGGCGGGGTGGGCGTTCCACCTTGAGAATGAATAGCGCTCGTAACATATCTCTTTGATGGTGTATTCCTCTCATAAAGTCATAATAACATGTTTTTTTAACTTAATTTTTACTTTTCTCTTAGTTTTTTCTAGTTTTTCCAATTGTTTCCATTTTCTTTGAAGTTTTTCTACTCTTCAAAAAAAAGACTAAAAATCATGTACTCCTATTTTTCATGTTACTATTATTATTATTTTTTTATTATTATGTTCATAACTATCGTTTATGCATTATTTCAATTTTCCATATTGATTTTTTTCTATGCCACTTTTTTTGCAATTCACACTCATTATTATTTTTCTTTCATTTTTTATATAAATAAACATTTTTTTGTTTATCAATTTACACGAAAGTAAATTATGTTCCAAAAATTAAAGATAAAAGAGTGGTATTTTTTGACTTGGTGGAAACATCAATATTTTAGATTAAATACTGCGAAGTAATAATTATACTATTTCCTCTCTCCCTTATTAAATGGCATGTATATTATTCATATGGTCAAATTTTATTTATTTTATTTACCAATTTCGTGAGTCATTTGATAAAATAATATTATACTGTCACGACTAGTTTTGTAGAGTTTTTGGTGTTGTTCTTAAATGTGTAAATTCTATTTTTTAATTCTACCCAATTGTCTCATAGGTTGAATGAAAAAATAGTTTTAGTCAAACATTGTAAATTGGAAAATAAACATATAAAAGGGACAAATGGAGTACTATATTATGAAAAAGAAAACATGACCCCAAAAATTGTGTTAAAAACAAATTTAGATAATAAAGAATATAATTAATAATTAAAATAGAACTAATAAAAAATACTTTATTTTATTAGATTTAAATTTTATTGTTTGTAATATGTACAATATTGCGCATATAATATATCCTATCTTCAATTAAACTCAACTACATTATTGAATATTAATATTAATAATAATGATAACACCATGATTTTTTTGACCTTGGTTTTCAAGGTCATATTATGACCCCTGGCCTCTATGGTGTTCCAATGGTAAAATTGATAGTTTTTATCTTCCTAAACCCCCAACCACTAAACTCATCCCCCAGCACGCTACCCCAGCTCAAATGACTTATGATCCAATACAGCAAATCCTCACCCCTAAACTCTTAAGTTGAACTAAATAATCGATTTGATTTAATCTTTTAATGTGGTTTAGATAAGATGTCTTATGATCTAATCCAGCAAACCCTCACCCATTACTAAATTCTATCATTTACTGATTCTAAGAAGAAAAAATAATGTTTCTCAAGTAATAATAATACGTTAAATAGAAAAAAGTCGAATCGAGAAAAGAGTATACTACGTACGGAGTAGATAATTAGCACTGAAAACGTGGCCTTAATTAGTGTAGTAGTTGGGAAAAAGTGTTAGATTACTGATTAGTTGGAACTTAGCTGAGCTTCGTGTAATGCGTCTAGCCTTAAGGCCTCATTTTCTGATGATAAGTACAATTACTCCGTATTTAGTGTACATAATGATTTCCTCTCACGCCTTTCACCTGTACCCATTATTGCCTATTGTATATTGATTGTATCATCTCTCAAACGTCTTCTTCTCCACGACAATGGCATTTCTCTCCCGGCACAACTCCGCCACCCATCGCCACCCCTCCTTCCTCCCCCGCTATCTCATTCTCTCCGCCTTCGTCTCCCTCGCCATTCTCCTCCTCTTCGAGGTAATTACAATCAATCATTCATTCATTCAATCGATCGATCTAATGAAATCTGATTATGATGTGCGTTTAATCGTTGGTTGATTGGTTGCATCTCCCCCGGCGATGAATTGAATCAGGTGGACAGCCTGGTGTCGAAGACGAAGACGATCGTGGGCCACAACTTGGAGCCGACGCCGTGGCACGTTTTCCCGGCGAAGGAATTCGACGACGAGTCTACCTACTCCCGGGCCTCGAAGATCATCCAATGCTCCTACCTAACCTGCAGCCGCGCCGCCGATTCGGCTCCCGGAGGCGGCGTAGCCAGCGATCCGCCGCCGGCGTGCCCCGATTTCTACCGGTACATCCACTACGACCTCGCGCCGTGGGCGAAGACCGGGATTTCCCGCGCTCACGTGGCGGAGGCGCAGAAGCTCGCGGCGTTCCGGGTCGTGATCTCGCGGGGGAGGCTCTATGTGGACTTCTACTTTGCTTGCGTGCAGAGCCGGGCGATGTTCACCGTCTGGGGATTCCTCCAGCTGCTCCGGCGGTACCCCGGGAAGGTTCCCGATGTGGATTTGATGTTCGATTGTATGGACAAGCCGACGGTTAACCGGACGGAGAACGCCGCCATGCCGCTGCCGCTCTTCCGATACTGCACCACATCTCAACATTTTGACATTCCTTTCCCGGATTGGTCTTTCTGGGGCTGGTAATTAATCTCCCAATTAAGGAAAACACACAGAAATCTGTATATAATCTGGTTTTTGGATGAATGTTGATCATGATATCTCCCAATTTCCAGTTTATCAAAACTCAAAAAGCATTAATTAATTAGGTGATTTTAAATGGAAATTAACCAGAGTTCTAAATGTGTATATACAGGTCAGAGATTAATATAGCGCCATGGGATGAGGAGTTTAACAGCATCAAACAAGGATCTAAAACTCGGAGTTGGGCAAGAAAATGGCCGGTTGCTTACTGGAAAGGAAATCCAGACGTTTTTTCACCGGTTCGCACAGAGCTTTTGCAGTGTAATGACACTAGAATGTGGAGAGCCCAGATCTTTCGACAGGTTATATTTCTTTAAAATCTCTATTTTGATGATCCCAATACTCTCCATTGTAGCTTACTTTTTTTTGTCCGAAAATAAAGTTCACTCTACATTTTTTCTTATAAGAATACAGACCTGTTTGGGAATAGCGTTAGAGATTAGCGTTAGCGTTTTAGATAAAATTTTAACGGTGTAGATTACTTTGAAAATGCTAACGCTAAACACTGCCCGTAGATAGCCTTTTCAAAACGCTAACGCTAATCGCTAACGCTATTCCCAAACAAGTCCTACATGATTCGCAACAAATTTTAGGGGTGCAATTTCCAACATTTTCCCGTAAAGTTTCATGAACCTTTTTTAAAAGATAATTTACCTATGTTTTTATTTTTTCAATGTAGGATTATTAGTCATTATCCATTAGTCATAATTCAATTAAATGTCCATCATCACTGAGCATTATTCCTCCACTAAACATTATTAAGTCTTATTTAGGGAATAAAAAAGTTTAAATCCTACATTGAAAAATGACTTATGTTTTAACCATATTTAATACAAATCTCACTTTTTTAAAAAGGGGAATACTTCCTTCATACCAGAATAATCTTAATTCTTCTTTTATCGTTCATCCCAAGATACTCCGTAACTTTTACCTAAAATAACCATTAATTTTGCAACCGGACCAGTTCCTGTGACATTAAACTCAATGCCATATACGGGGTTCCGTTCAAAAATTTGATGGTTCTTATCCCTAACACTCACCTTCGCTGATCGGCGAAGGGGAGGGAGCCGGGAGTGCAGGGGGATTTGGGGGTACGAACCATCAGTTTTTCTCTGGTCATGCTTTGACATTGAAACTCAATTATTGGAGCTTCTTAACATCTTCAAATTGCAGGATTGGCTAGAAGAAGCAAAGACTGGATTTGAGCAGTCCAAACTGTCCAATCAGTGCCAGCACCGGTCAGTGACTCTCAAATGGCTAGAACAATAAATTAAAATAAGATGAAGATGGTGAAACAAAGAACTGCGTATAAAGTTTGAAGAGTTTCCATGAAAAAAATGCAGGTATAAGATATATGCAGAAGGATATGCTTGGTCTGTGAGCTTGAAATACATTCTTGCATGTGGTTGTGTTCCCCTTATAATAACGCCGCAGTATGAAGATTTCTTTAGCCGCGGTCTTATTCCTAAGAAGAATTATTGGCCAATCCCCCCCTTTGATCTATGCCCATCTATCAAATCGGCCGTTGAGTGGGGTAACGAACATCCCGTAGAGGTATGCTACTTTTCATCCCTATGTATAGTTTATAAATTAGCAACCACGCCGGTGTGCATGCATGCCGCACAAAGACATGGAATGACAAGGTTTAAACTCAAATCTAATTTTTGGCAACTGTGCTGAAAGAGAACTATGCTAAGCCTAAACTTCTGCAAACTCTACTATTTGCCAACAACTTACGATTAAAGTCAAGTTTACCTCCTCTCAATGACTGACAGATCTGAGGGCCCTCAGGGATGAAGCCCATCATTTATAAATTAGTAACCGCAAGCTTGAACTTTTAGTTGAATATATTCCTTGACATTGTCATGGTATCACAGTCCAGTTGACCAAGAGGTCGCGAGTTCGAATCTCACCACCACCCAATATTTTTTTAAAATAAAGTTTCGAGTACAAGTTAAAGCTCGAAACGGTCATGTCTGCACGTGACGGAACGTATTAGGATATAAAATGGTTCTTGGGCGTACAACTACCAGCTTCAATTTTTATTAAGTTGGTTCATTGAGAGTGTGGTTAAAATTAAATTAGAAAATATATTAAAAAAAACTATAAATCCTAGATTCTTTTTCCCAAGTGAAAAATCATTTTTTCTATCAAGGCCGGTCCCGAAAAATGAAAAAATAAAATTGGTCCGGTCCAAAATTTTCATTTTGTGCCCTATTTTGTATTTTTAGAATACTTTTACTTTAAAATTATTAATAAATTTAAAAATATGGTGCCCTAAATTTTAAGGTTCCCTGTGCGGTTGGCCACTTTGCACACCCTCCGGGCCTCCCATGTTTTCTATTAAAAATACATAAAAAGAAATTTAGAAAATTTCGAGGGAGTAGTTCTTAGAAATTTGGGAGGGGTGACAACGTTGCATAATAGCGTCAGAAGCTTGTTTGATTTAACGAATCACGTGAAACACACTTTCAGAATGATTGACCATAAAGTCAACAAAAGTTTGAATTGTGCAATTGGAAGGCCTTGGGGTGCGTAAGGAAGGGGTTGGGTATGGACAGTTTACGAGGGAGGGGGGTTAGGGGGTAGAAATCACCCTAAATAAGAGAGTAAAATATAGTGAAAGTACCAAAATAAGAGTTTCATGTTTTTATCTCCAAAGCAGGGGTTCGCATTATGGTAATATGACATTGTATATGGATATTTTACAGTACTTTTTGGTAATGTACATGGTCATGATTAGACACTGCAACTGCATTTTAATTTCTATTTTGAGACTAAAAATATAGAACTCTTATTTTGATATATTTTCAATGTTTTACTAATAATACTTTACACTTTTTCCTTATTTTTCGATAGGTGCCTTAAGCCACTATATTTATTTCCATGGATACTAAACGGCAGTGTGGTCCATAACTTTTAGAACGCAAGATTAGTGTGATATAATCTGTTTTGGACAAACTGCTCACGAATTTATTTCCAAACACTTCACAAAAAATCATGGATTAAATTCTTTTAAGGTCCGTTTGGTATACGGAATTGACGGAATTGAAATTGAATTGGAATTGAGATTCCATGGGATTCAATTCCATATAGGGTCCATTTGGTATATGGAATTGATGGAATTGGAATTGAATAGGAACTGAAATTCCATGGGATTCAATTCCATAGAATTGAATTCACCAATTTCGATTCATTTTTTGCACTATCAATTCTAAAACCACATAATTTTGTGCTACCAAACACCATAATTGGAATTGAAGTCCTTAATTCCAATTCCATCATTTGAATTCCATGTACCAAACGGGGCCATAATTGAATTCTGCCAATTCTAATTCATTTTTTGCACTATCAATCCCAAATCCACATAAATTTTGTGCTACCAAACACCAGAATTGGAATTGAAATCCTCAATTCCAATTCCATAGTTTGAATTCCATGTACCAAACGGGGCCTTATTTTGGTTGATTTTTTCTTCTAATTTAATATTGCAGGCGGGAGAAATAGGGAAAGCAGCACAAGAGTTAATGGAATCTCTAAGCATGGACAGGGTGTACGACTACATGTATCACCTGATCAATGAGTACGCGAGGCTTCAAGATTTCGTTCCGGTGCCGCCGCCGCCGGCCCAAGAGATGTGCGTGGACTCCGTGCTTTGCTTCGCAGATCAAAAACAGCGGGAGTTCCTGCGGCGGACAATCGCCTTCCCTTCCCCGTCGCCGCCCTGCTCTCTCCCCCCTCCGGACATGAACCTCATCAACATGAATATGGAAATGAGAGGAAAGTTTGATAGTGCAAATAACAACAATAATAATTAGAGATTTCAGGGTAGTTTAGCATTTTTTTTGTAAATGAAGTTAGTTTTGAGATTGTAATTAAGAAGGGAAAAAAAAATACTTGCAATCATTTTTGATGTTGTAGTTTAATTTAATTATAGCTTTTTTGGTAATGGCAGTTGTCTAAACTTTAACATTTTTTTGCAATCAAATAGAAAAAATATATTTGGGGGTGATGGGTATATTCCATACATAGGCCGGTTCGAATACCGGTCGTGAAAGAACAAGTCAAGAATTGACTCGTCAAATATAAAATAACTCAAAACTTTGTTCGGAGACAAAAAAAGATGATCGGTCTCTCAGCATACCAAAGTGACCGATCACATGTGGCCGAACTCATTTTGGAGTCATTATGAAACAAGTACTCACTAAAAGTATCTTGTCATATTTCTGATGGTCGGAGAAACATCGACATATCAAGCTAGGTAGGACTACTACCCCTAAACCATAGTATCCCCTCACTCAGCATATCGGGGTAGGAAAGTTCTTTGATTCTATTTTAGATTTGTAGTCAATCAATGTTAGTCTGATTGTAGAGTGATGTTGTCTTGTCATTTAATTTATCCATAAGTGAGCATCTTTTATGCACCTACTAGATTTTCCTCTGCTCTATAAACAATTTGTGATATAGAGGAGAACATATATTTCTATTTCCGCAAGTTGAATACACTCTTGAAGTATAGTAAGAAATATATTTGAACACTAGAGGATCTAAAATAAATTATTTCAAAAGTAGGGAGCTGTTCCCAAAACAAATTATTTCAAATATTAAAATCATTTCCTTAATCAAGAATCGTGCCATTCAAAACTAGATAATGAGATAAACTACCAAATGAGTCCTTAGTTTTAGAATAAATTTTCAAAATGGTCATTTCTAATACTCCGTAGAGTATTTTCTCAAATTAGTTCTCAATAAACAATAATTACCAATGTGGTCCTTTGTAATTCAAATGTATTTCCTAAATAGTCTTTTGTCGAAGGTGTCTATTAAATGTCAGTTAAATGCAAGGTATTTTGGTATTTTTTATCATCTAGACTTAAAATATAATCTAAAAATGCTCATTTATAATTATGTAAATTTCTAAACTGATAATTTCTGAATAAATATTTTTCTGAAATTAAGTGTACGAGCCTACCCGGAGTGAGTCTGTTTCTCTAACAGCCACCCTCTTAATTTGAAATGACCATTTTAAGGACAAAGAATTATTCATAATTTAGATGATGAAAAATACCTTTCATTTTAACTGTCATTTAATAGATATTTTTGACATAAGAGTATTTAAGAAATACATCTGAATTACAGAAAACTACTTTGATAACTATTAATTATTGAAGATTAATTAAAATAATACTTTTATTAAAAATGATTCTTTTAGAAATTCAATCTTAATTTTATTAAAAATCTTCTAATGAGCACCTCTATCTATCTTTTTCACTCTCCCTTCTCTCCCATCCACTCCCACCAAACTTATCATACAAGTGTTTAATGCATCCGGATATGTCCGTCCCCTTATATACTTCTCTCGCCTTTATCTCTTCCTACTGACACGGTAGGAACACGCACCCTCCCAAAAAACTGTCTGGAATCTGTCCGTATATGGCAGCAGAAATTGTATGAAAAAATATCGCAGATAATTCGGATTCATCTTCCCCGAGAGATCTGGAAGTGAGATTTGGGGGGGATGGGGAGTTACAGAGTGTGCATTTGTTTCACGAGGAAGTTTAGGGTGAAGGAGGCGGAGCCGCCGGCTGACGTCAAGGAGGCGTTCAGGAAGTATGCGGAGGAAGGGACCCACATGAGCTCCGAGCAGCTGCGGCGGTTCCTGGCGGAGATGCAGGGAGAGACGGAGGCCACAGCCGCCGATGCCGAGGAAATCGTCCAGAAAATCCTCAGCAAACGCCATCCGTTCTCCAAGCTAACTCGCCGCACTCTCACTCTCGACGATTTTCACCATTTCCTCTTCAACGTTGAACTGAATCCCCCTTTCATCTCCAAGGTATCTTCTTATTTCTCTTGCGTTGACCAGTTGTAGAATTTGGATTCCCAATCATTTTAAGCATTGTTTTCCTAAATCTATCGCTAGCTTTACCAATTTTCTCTTTCGGGAAGTTATGAATGTGAAGCATTTACAGCCTGCTTCATTGAATTAAGTAAAGTGCTATAATGGATTCCTTGATCTGGAAACCCATGGACAGAGGATCAAATATGCTTAGCCCCAGATTTGCTGATTTGGACAGTATCTAACTGGGAAAACTTCTTTCCACTGTCTCATTTTCTGGAATCCTAAAGTAGTAAATAACCCAATTTTTTTGTTTAACTTTTCAAAAATAAAAAAATAAAAATCCTTTGAGGAACTGGGGGATTTATTGTTCTCCCTCCGCACTTATTTAGTTGTAAGATTTCCAAAATACCTCAAATTTAAGAAATAAGGTTAAACTAACAAAAAATAAGCTCTTAAATTCACTTTGTCCTTCATTGATGATAACAATACTAATATGCTCTCTAGGAGTGTTTTTGGTAATTTACAATATTTGCTCTTCACTAAATATCGTAAGCGGACTATAAATTCAGTAATTCTTGACCCCAAACTACATTGTACTATTTCTTATTATAGAAGACTTCCAAACTTGGGTGTAATGCAAAAGAAGAAATCACATAACAGTGAATGCCTGCTTTTAACATGTAGTGCTTCCTTTTCTTAATGCTCACTTTTTCATTTTGTTACTATTTCAGGTTCATCAGGACATGAATGCTCCCTTATCCCATTACTATATATTCACGGGGCATAATTCATACTTGAAAGGAAATCAACTCACTAGTGATTGCAGTGTTGTTCCGATAATCAATGCACTGAAAAGAGGTGTAAGGGTCATTGAACTTGATATATGGCCTAACTCGGCAAAGGATGATGTGATTGTTTATCATGGAAGGTTGACAATTTCTGTCTATTATTTTGTGTTTGGTATGCTATTGTTCGTTCGATTGCCTTGGTTAGCTGTTACCCTACTGGTTATATTTATCCACTCTGAAATTGACCCTTTCTTTCCTTTTTCATGTAAAAGGTTGCGAGTTTCCTAACCGGATTCTTCCCATTTTTTCCCATTTTCTTTTAGAGAAAGAGTTGTGTTGTTATATTGATTCCCTTCTTTCTAGATTAATTGCAACCCCACATTTTCAATTTCTTAATCAGTAAATCTTCCTTATCTCTCAATCTCACTTTTCTGCTACCAGCACCTATCACCTATTTTGGGTGGCTTGGTGTGTCCGTGTGTGTGTGGGGGGGGGGGGGNCCTTTCACTCATGTTTGAAAATCATGGATTGTGCAACATGTTGTCTATGTAGCTCAGCATGGAATCTGAAGCCCTAGATATAGGGCATTGTCTTGTGACTAATGGTTTGTTTTGATGAGGAGAGAAAATAGGAGGAAAGAAAATGGTGACAAAATGGAGAGAAAAAGTTTAGTGTTTGGATTGATAGAGTGAGAAAAGATGAAAAGAAAAAGAGAAGGAATGTTTTTTCATCCATTTTCTCATCATCTATGGTGAGATATTTTTCACATGATCCCATCTTTTATTTTTGCTCCTCCCTCCATTATCTCACATATCCAAACCAGTGAATTTGCATTGGTTTTTGTGTTTTCTCACCTAACATTATTTTTTTTCTCACTATATTCTCACCATCCAAACATAGTGTAATTGCAAATGATGAGGTTTTTTTTTTCAAATATACATGGCTCAAAATCATAAATCTGTGTATAGAGGTCCTCAGATCCCAATTCCCAAATACACAAAATCTTATGATTTGAATTATACGGTAGGTGCTTAGCTTGGTGACATTAGACATTTTATTTTCTAATTTCTCAAGTTTCTGCACTCCCTATGACATCTAAGCCTGCACATTTCTGAATGCAGGACAGCGACAACCCCTGTAGAACTCATAAGTTGTCTGAAGTCAATAAAGGAAAATGCGTTTGTTGCATCTCCCTACCCAGTTGTAATAACACTGGAAGATCACCTTAATACTGCTCTTCAAGCTAAAGTAGCTGATGTGAGTTGCTACTTACAAAGTTACAATCACAAAATTTCCATTTCTTTCTGCTTTAATGATAAGTTGATTTTTCTTTTTGTTTTGGAACCAATAAGGTGATGGAAGATATCTTTTTCTAATTTACTATGGGTGCAGATAGTAGATATATAAACAAAACTTTAAGTTGGTATTAACATGTATAAGTACTTGTGACACGACTCCTTATGAATCTATATCTGTAGATGATTACACAAACATTTGAAGATATGCTCTACACTACCAAATCAGAATGTTTGAAGGAGCTCCCTTCACCTGAGGAACTTAAACATCGTATTATCATTTCAACAAAACCTCCAAAGGAATACCTTGAATCTAAGTCTATCAAAGAAAGACCGGATGGCTCACTTAGCAGAAAGAATTCTGATGATGATACCTGGGGTGCTGAGCCATCCACGTTAACAGCCAATCAAGAAGACAGCAAGGTGAACCCTTTTCCTTTGTCTCAATTAGTTTCTTCTATCCATCTCCTGTTGAATTCATGATGCCCCTTCTTAGCAGGGTGAAGTTAATACAAGCAAGCACAATCAAGATTGCGAGGATGATGAGTCTGGTGATGACTCTGATCAGAAAGGAAATGCATACAAGAACTTGATTGCTATACAAGCTGGGAAGCCCAAAGGAGGGTTAACTGAGGCATTGAAAGTGGAACCTGATAAAGTGAGACGCCTCAGTCTAAGCGAGCAAGCTCTTGAAAAGGCTGCTGAATCTCATGGAACTGATATTGTCAGGTATATTTCAATATATCAAATTCCTATGTCTTAGACTAAAAAAAAGAGATGCAACATGAGAACGAGCTTTTTAGGTCCTATAAATTGACGTATACTACTTTTTGGCCTTCACTCTAATGGATGTGCATCTCTTGTCAGGTTTACGCAGAGAAACATTCTTAGGGTATATCCTAAAGGTACTAGGTTTAACTCCTCCAATTATAAACCTCTAATTGGATGGATGCATGGTGCTCAAATGGTTGCATTTAATATGCAGGTAGGCTATTTGATTTAGATTATTGCCATCCTCTTTAATTCTTTACTTGTTTCTAAAATTGTATGTGCTCCTTGTATCATATAAATACAAGTCTATGTTCTCTGACTCATTATTAGAATTCTCATTATAGACTTTATTCTCATTATTCAATAAAGGATAGTGTATTACTTGTGCAATGGCAGGGATACGGCCGGTCCCTTTGGTTAATGCAAGGGATGTTCAGATCAAATGGAGGGTGTGGTTATGTCAAGAAGCCAGATTTCCTTGTGAAGGGGGTTTTTGACCCCAAGGAAAAACTGGCTCCAAAGAAAACCTTAAAAGTAAGCGAACCATGAGATAATCTGTAGTTTGTTTTTATATAAATCGATCTATCTTATTGACACTAATAATATGTTATAGGTGAAAGTATATATGGGAGATGGATGGCACTTGGACTTCGGACAAACTCACTTTGATTCATACTCTCCCCCAGACTTCTATACCAAGGTAAGTTGATAGTTCATCCACAACATTTTCATGTTAGGGTGTGTTTGTAAACCGGAAAATGCAAGGTGAATAAAAAAACAATCATTTTGTGTTTTCCCTTGCATTTTCAAAGGTAAAACCAAAGAAACAAACTTCCACTGGCACTAATGTTCCCCTGCCCATCATTTTCTGGCGTCCAAACACACCCTATGCGATCAACAATAGTTTCAACTTGTTATGTTTGAGACACATAAAATAGACAATTGAACAAAGATTCATGACCTTTGGTATGAGTGTATGGCAGGTTGGGATTGCTGGAGTGCCTGCTGATGAAGTGATGAAGAAAACAAAGAAAAAGGAGGACAACTGGACGCCTGTTTGGGAAGAAGAGTTTACTTTCCCATTGACTGTACCTGAGCTAGCCTTGCTGCGAGTTGAGGTGCACGAATATGACATGTCCGAGAAGGACGATTTTGGAGGCCAAACATGCCTTCCTGTCTCGGAATTGAGACCAGGCATTCGTGCAATTCGCCTCCGTGATCGCAAAGGAGACAGCTACAACTCAGTAAGGCTCTTGATGCGCTTCGAGTTTGTTTAAGTGTGTGTGTGTGTTTTGTACTCTGTTTTCGTAGTGCAGTGTGTGCATTCTTTTCCACTGTATATTCTTAGGCTTTTCGATGGAGTGATGTGTGTTTGCGCGTGCTTGTATGTAAAATTTGAAAGAACCCAGGAATTTGGGAAACAGAAACTGAACAAGTATATGTTTGTTCTTATTTGAATACCAAAACACTTCTATTTATTTTTCAAAATTTGTTGATAAGTGGGTTCATATATAATATGACGCTTTCAAATTAATAGCTAGACGCGAGAGTGATTCGGACGACTGGCAATGACTCCATGGGCGGCGGGGGAAAGCAATTGAACGGCGATTCCGTGTCGGCGGTGGCTGCTTCTTCCCAGTGTCTTCCCATGGGCGGTGGTGACAGCAATTGAACGACCGCCCCCACTTTCTTTCCCTTTTTTTTTAATGTCAAAATAATTTTTTGTCCTTTTTAAAGACTTAATTGGCTTCATAGTTTTCATTCCCAATTTATAGTTCAAATATTTTTAAAATCACACCATCCTATTATTATTATTTATTCAATTTATTTTTAATAAAAAATCATTTATTATACACCAAAGTTATAAAAATAAATAAATAATGATGATGTGAATTGAAAGGGAGTGCATGTGGAAAGGATGTATATGGTAGTGTTGAGGGTAAAAATTGCTTGTGGGAAAGATGAAGAAAAAGCTGATGTGGCATGCTAAGTAGGCGTCCATGAAGGCGAGGTATTAGCGTTGTGGGTAGTTTTCGCGAGGTTTTAGTTGACGTTGAAATAGGGCATCCGCGGAATGTGACGTTCTTGTGCTACTACTATGCAGAAAAGTAAGACAAATCACTCTTGTCCTACAAAAAATGTTCTACCTTTGACTTGGTAATATAGTATCTCCACTACCTTTATCTCCTATGTGACGTCTTATGCAATTATAAACTGAGACTCTCGCCTAGAGAGTGTAGCTTAGCTAGTTGAGAGGATAGTACTACTTAGAGTAAGGTCGAGTTTGAATCTTGAAAACAGCGATAAAGAGTGAGCATGCTATGTATGTGATTTTTGCACGTACCAAAGACATTTTCATTCTCATTTAGGACGGTGTATCCCTAATACTCAGACACTTATGAGTAAGGGCTCCTTCCACCCTAATTGTGGATGCAATGGAATTCCACCATTAGAGGTAGAGTCTTTATTTTAAAAATTTAAATTAGGTTTGTATTGAATCTTATAAAGTATGTATTCCTTTGAATTGCATAAATGATAAATCGTATCAAGTGCTCATTTGGCCACCACTCAAATATTTAATTTTAGTATTGCAACAATGTTTTTTAATGAGAGTTCTGATGCTATATGAAGTACATTTAAAATTTTGAATAATCTATTAATTTTACACATTTATTTCTTTGCATATATTTAGAGCGTACATAATATAAAATTGATACATGCATATTTTATAATTGTACAATGCTCATTTTGTTGCTAGTAACACTTTCAATTAAATAGCACTAAAACATAATAATTTCCCTAAATAGCATCATATGTTTTTTTCCCAATCTAGCACTTTTAGTCATTATCCATTAGTCATTATTCAAGTAGATATTGACCATCACTAGACATTATGGACATTATGAAGTCCTATTTAGAAAATAAAATAATTTAAATGCCATTTAAGGAAATGACTTAAATTTTAATGCTATTTAGTGCAAATATTTCTTTTTAAAAACTCGAATAACCTTAACTTCATCGCTAGACTAACCAAGAATCTAAGAACGTGGGGACACACCAAAAACTAATGAAGAACCACTTATAACTCTTAGGAAGAATATGTCATATATGTATGTTAAGCTCAACTAAAGCATGACAAAGTAGCACAAGTAGACAGGCTAACATAACAACCATCCAAGTTTAAGTCTTTACACAAAACACACTGCTCAAAACAAATAGTAGAACACAAAACAATTTTGCAAGTTTGCCTTTTTTTCCCAATCATCTTTTCTTGAAACCATATTTTTTACGCTCGTAGAAAAGATCTGTCTTTGCACTCCCAAGATTGACTATTTTGGGGCAGCCGTCGCGATCCTTCTCCTGCTGTGTACATTCTTTGCAGTAGTATGCATCAGAAATTCCAAGCCCTCCACAAATGACACATCTGCCCTGGAAAGATCCGTAGTTGCATTCGTCGCAGACCCGGACGAGCGTGCAAGGCCTCACATAGGAATCACAGATCACACACTTTCCATCACATTTCTCACAAAGGCGTCCAATGGCTATTCCCGGCTGCTTCCTGCACATAATCAGATCTGGGTGGTGCTTGGCCATACTTTGATGGCAAACTGCAGGTGAATAAAACAGCAAGATTTAAGTATGCCTATTAAAAACACATCCTAAGCATCACTACAGAAGAGAAGGAGAAATAGCATTTCAGGGTTTTCAAAACAAAAGTGAATATAAAGAGAATTAATGTCAGCTGGAGCCTGGATGCATATTCATGATCATGATCATCATCATCATAATATCGGCATCAACTTAATCCAAAGTTTCCAAATCCCAACTATGTGGAGGTTGGTGGAATGGTATTTATATTGTCAATTATTAGTTTAAAATCAGTAAACAACATGGATTCATTTTTATACAAACACAGTGGTAAGGTTTCTTGTGGGAACCTTAAGATGGAAGAAATATCAAAGTCGAGAGAATGGTCTTCGAGACAAGATGTATGCAGGCCTTACTTCTAATCCAAAGAGTATGGAGGCTATTTGCCAATTTCCATGAGGAAATCCGCCAAGTATGGCCCATACACTCTGTTTGGTTCAAGGGTTTTGGAAGGAAAACAAAAAGAAAATGGTAAACAAAAGTAATTTTGGTGTTTGATTAGAATGGAATTAGGGAAAAGAAAAGAAAATTGGAAAGCAAAGTGAAACATGATTTTCCTTTCTTTTTTGTGAGGAAAAAGGAGAGAAAACATCAAACTTCTCCCTTCCCCTTTCCCTTGAATCCCCCCACCCCCTGCCCTCTTCCTCCCCTCTCGTCTTCATTTTCTCTTTAACAATGAAACAAAGAGTTCTTGATAAAAAAAATCTTCATCAATTTCTCTACTAACCAAACAGGCAAACAATATTAAGATTTTTGGTTTATCTAAAAAGAAAAATGCTAGGGGTACACCAAACCATATGTCCCCCACCCCCTCCTTGTCCACATAAATTGGCAAGAAATTCAAAAAAAAAAAATAAATAAAAATCAAATAAAAATGGGTGGTAGAGAAGGGGGCGGTGTACATTTGGGGTACACAAGGTGTACCCTTAGCATTGCTCAAATTTATTTCTTAGCATTTTCGTTTCCTTCCTTGTTCCTCAAACCAATCATAGTGGTAGTGTGAGCAATGAAAGAAAATCACCCACAAACACCTACCCTTCGCAGATACAATACTCAGACATGGACCCTATATAACTAATACACTCTCCATGAACTACTGAACATAAAAAACTTATTTCTTCCATGGAGGCAAAGCAAAATCGGCGAAAACAATCATCCATCAATCTGCTATTTGAGCAATAAAACTAATCCATTAGCCTCCAAACAAAATGGATTATGAGACTTTGAGATAACCTCAGAAGCTTGAAAATATAGAAAAAAAGGGAATAAGACCTAAATCAAACCCTGTAGATCTTCGAGTTCAGCCAAAGTCGATGAAATCGATGTGAAATTGCTCAAAAAAACATCGCAAAAGCACCATACATTGGCATCGATTCAGTGTGTAAAATGTTTACCTGAAAATCGTGGCGAATTCCGCTGGTTTGAAGCAAAAATCTACGGCGGAAGGATTCGTTTTCTTAAGGATTCGTTTTTTTCTTAAAGACGGTGGAATGAGAAGTTATTACTCCCCAGACGGCCAGACCCCGATCACGGTCCGGACCCGGTCCTCCTGAACTGCAGAATAACGGGCTTGTACCGGATATTTTAGGATACAAGTCGGGCTTGAACTTTATAAATGAGAGCCCTTATACTTTTGGACCAAGCTCGTGTTTTATACTCTAACCCATGGGTCGATCCGATTCCAATAAATAATAATGTTTATTACGTAGTATTAGCATAGTTATAGGGCCTGTTTGGGAATAGCGTTAGCGTTTTGAAAAGGTTATCTACGGGCAGCGTTTAGCATTAGCGTTTTCAAAGTAATCTGCACCGTTAAAATTTTATCCAAAACGCTAACGCTAATCTCTAACGCTATTCCCAAACAGGCCCATAATAAAATAATAAACAACAACATTAATATTAATAACAATTATGACAACAATACTATTTCAAATTATTATAAGGGGAATTTACCTAAACAGTAATACAATATAGTGACTTTCCTAATATAGTACCATATATTTTTATTTTCCAATGTAGTACCATTGTTCAATATCCACCGGTTATTGTTCAAGTAAATATCCATCGCCACTAGACATTGTTCAAACTAAATGTCCACCATCACCGGATATTATTCTCGTCACTAAACATTATTCAAATACTATTTAGGAAATAAAAAAAAATTAACTACTACTTTGGGAAAGAACATACTCCCTCCGTCTCACAAAATCTTTCTCCTTTTTTTCATCTCTCTCAAAATATCTTTTTCATTTCTATTAAAAAATTACATTTCCCCCCTATCAATTCTTAACATAACTATCATATCACATTTTTCACTATTAATCAACTCATCACATCCTACTTTTATCCATTACATCTAATGGCATTTTGGGAAAAGTCAATACCGAAATACACTCTCCATAAATCATTTAAAAGTCAAAACCAGAAAGGTTTTGTGGTTCGAAGGAAGTATGTTTTAGTACTATTTAGTGCAATTTTCACTTATTATAAACACACATACATAATTCAATAGACAAAAAAGTGAATTATAAGTATATTTAATAAAGTAGTACATCTTTATTAAGCTGTATTATTTACTATCTATCTCACATTGATAATGATATTCAAATAAATAACACTTCGTAATCCATAGTGATAATATCAAACAAAATACATTTTATACATTAGCCGTTCTCTATTTGATGTACTTGTATATTAATTAATTTTATCTAATATATTAACGCATTAATTTTTATAGAAATCACTCTAAATAGGACTAAAACATATAGAAAAGTACTAAAATAGGACTTTCATGTTTTTATTATCGAAATAAGACTTCACACTGTAGTAATGTGACATTGTACATGTGCACATTACTATAATTTTTGGTAATGTACATGAGCATGTTTGATAATGTAAAAGTATTTTAAGTCCTATTTCGAGAATAAAAATATGAAAGTCCTATTTTGGTATATATTCAATATTTTAGTCCTACTTTAGTCTTTTTTCCTTTATTTTATTATTTAAAAGTTGTTGCTATGCAGATCGGTCGCCCCAAAACCCGCGAGTACCCATGCAGATTGGGCTCGAGCTTTAATTGTTAGGCCCGCAATATGGGCCAAGTCGAGCTCAAACCTAGAAAATTCTTGTAATGTAGCAACTCGGACCGGTCTGAAGCTCGGCCCGGCCTGCACTTTGATCTACTCCCTTCAGATTCCAGAAACAATTACTTTACCCGATTGTAGGAAAAATCTTTTGTGGTTAGTTAGGTTTATGTTCTTTAAAATTTCAATCTATAAAATAATTATATATATAATATATTAGGTTTTGTAAAAAAAAAATAGATCCAACTATGGACACATAGAAAATATGTAGGAAGGTCTATAGTTTACACATGGACCCTAGGTACACAATAGCACAACTCTTTTTTGTAATATAGGATCTTGGATCTTGTGTTCTTATTGTATGCAAATGAGAAGTCTTTAGGTACATACTCATTTTATGGAGTTTATTGTATGAACTGGCTAAATGTATTGAGTCTTATAAAAAAGAAAGAGATCTAATTATGAGTCTATGAAATATATGTGAGAAGGTCCACATTTCACATGTGAATCTCAAAATCACAATGACATTACTCCTTCTCACAATACTTTTATACGAAGTATCAATATGATACCGAAAACCTATTATAAAGAAAACAATACCAAAAACCTTCAATATGGAAATATGTTGGTATAGTGGCAAGGAAGTCATCCCAAGTTTTTCCACATCTAATGCTCGAGGCCCACTAGACACATAAGAGATCAAAATTAGTTTGAAGATGTTGGGTAACCATGCATGGATAGCACAATGGAATTTTTTTATATATCCAATCGTCGTTACCACCCAAGATCGTCCTAGGAAAACTATAAATTATTTTTAGAAATAATACCTTTTCTCATAGAAAATAGATATGATCGGACAATGTAGGTGAAGGGATTGGTGCAACGAACGTAGCCACAAAATATCCAACCATATCCAACCTCTAGCGTGTCCATACAAACAACGAACATCGTTCTAAGAAGAGTTTATGCTAGTAAGCTCTTCCTAGAATATTACAAGAATATAGAAATATTAATGAGAATGATGAAGAAAATATCAATATATTTTCTCCTATATGTTTCAGCCCTTCCTTCTCTTTTTCGATCGAAGAACGCCCCAAAGAAAAGATATGTGGGCTCTGCTTATATTGAAGAAGTGTGGTGAAAAGGAGACTCTTTAATAGTTACTTTGTTAGATCAGAAAATTAATTAAAGAATCAAAAGTAGAGCCAAATTCTTCCTTTTCTCCCCTTCCCATATTTTCGACCATGTGCACATAAAATATAATAATTTATTTTGTCAACTTTAATTATCATATAATTAAGACAAAATAAATATTAAATATATATTTAACAATCCGGTAATCATATTATTGTGTGTGTGTGTGTATGTATGTATGTATGTATATATATATATATACACACACACACACACAATATTTGATAAACTTAATTATCACATAATTAAAATGTCAACATATTTATTTAATATGTATATCACACATCCCATATTATTTTATATCATTTCCATTTAATATTCTACTTTGTGCAATTGTTCTATGTATGTGACCCTTCTAGGTATTCATAACGATGACAATGGTATTAATCACAATTAACTTATAAAAGATAAGCGGTATCTAGCAACACAATGTCGTTACCCATGTTATAAACATAAAGTTCATTGCAACAATACGTCCAACGACACATCTCATTTGTACAACTCTTATCTATTTGTCACTAATGTCTAGATTTAACACAAGGTATGGGAAGTGTAACCTTGTTAGAGTTAAATCATTGGTTTACTGATTCTCAGATTGACTTGTGGGATTCAAATAACATTAATATCACATATATTAATTTATCTGTGTATGGCCACACTTTCCAATTCACATCAATCAGTAGGCCCGAAGACATTACACTTCATCACAATGGAAGAGATAAATTCTTTCTACGTAATTCGCGCTTTTACATATGTTTAACTATATACCTAAAACAAAACTGTACGTCCATCAGTATTTCAGATGGCATTAGATATGAATCAAAGCATATAGGTCAACATATGAAAAATCGTAATGACCTCAAGTGTACAGATAGTTATACGAATGGTCGAATGAGAATACTACTAACACATTTAAAATAATACCCATGTAGTATTCTCATGGTGGGTCAGTCCAGTACCATACTCTAGATATATACATATGTATAGATTGAGATATCACAATATCCATATCCTATGAGACGCGGCTATCTTGTCTCATACGTATTACTTTTAGTATATTATGATGTTCGTATCATCATAATATTTGACTAAGAACACTTTAGATATAACCTCTATTAATGTAACAGCCTCATAATCAGAAAATTGTAGTTCTAATCTATGCTACCAGAGCGCTAAGTTTATGGACTAAAGCTATGTTTAGATACAAGAGATGTGTAAATAATATTTGGGGCCTTTTATTATTGATAAAGATTTAGATACTGATTCATACATTGGCCTCTAGGGCTCATATATCCAATAGAAGAGATACTACACTGATGGATATGAAATTTAGATGGAAAACTATTTTGTGCCAGATTACATGGACGCAAACAGTGACAGACCAGATGATGCCGCCATCTATGGTGGCGACTAAAGAACAATCAGATGACACACAAGATCAAACAAGGGTAGTGGCTTTGATACCATATTGAATAATTGAATAATAGTACTCTTTATTACTCATTAAATTATAGAGTACATGATAGAGTATATATACAAGAGAGACTCCTAACACAACCAGAAATAGAGAATGAAAACTAACTAAAATACAACAACAACAAAGCCTTATCCCACTAGATCGGGGTTAGCTACATGGATCAAACGACGCCATTGCACCTTATCGTGTATCATATCTGCTGTGAGATTGTTCACGCGAAGGTCAATCTTGATCAATGCTTGCCAAGTCCTCTTAGGTCTACTTCTTCCTCTAGCCACCTGCCTATTCACCATTTGATCAACCCTTCTCATAGGATGATCTATTGGTCTTCTCTCCACATATCCAAACCACCTAAGACGAGTTTTCACCAACTTTTCTATAATAGATGCCACTACAACTTTAGCTTTCATATCTTCATTCCTTATTCTATCCATACGCGTATGACCGCTCATCTAACGAAGCATCTTCATTTCTGCCACACTAACCTTGTGTTCATGTTCATCCTTTACAGCCCAACACTTTGTCCCATGTAATATAAAGCCCGAAGCACTCCGCCATTTTGACCAATCGGCTTGAATCTTGTGAATAATATTAATTGAATATGAAAACCTTTTTGAATAATGATTAATTATATTAAATTAATTTTGGCTTTGTCAAAATCAAATACCCAAAAATATGATGGTATAAAAAGTATTTCAATAAATATGAAAATTATAGTGTTGCATGTATAGAGTTTGATTGACTTATCTCAATGATGCAATTGAAATTCAATTCGGAGAAAGTTGGACAAAAATACCCCAATTGAGATAAATTAATAAAAAATTACTCACTTCGTCTCAAAGTAAAAGTCACATTGTAGCCTATGATTGAATTGATTCTCCAGGCATTAAAAAAACTACTCTTTGGTTTCATAGTATTTATCGAGTTTGACTATTTCTAATAATTTTCTACAAAATAAAAATACTGAAATCATTTTTTAATTTGTATTAATATTCATGACCATTCTTATTTAAATGATAATCAAAATATATTTAGTTGGACTAAAACGTCAAATTAGATAAATACTTTGGAGAAAAAGTAATGCATCAAATGTCATGTAAACAAAGGTGACATGATATAAGAGAGACTTCATTCCTAATTAGGTTTTAAGTACAACAACCATAATAATAAGCCACTAAAATCAAGTTAATACTCGTTTTTGTCCTTGTATATGCACTCATGAGTCAATTTAGTCTTTGTAAGTTTGGTTAAATCAAATTAGTCCACATAACTAGAAAATGTGAATCAAATTAACCCTTAATGAAATATTTATATACTAAAATTCTAAGTTAGCACGTTATTTGACACACAAACTAATACACTAAGTCATTGCTCTAGCATCAATTAACATGATAATTACAATTTTTAACAGATAAATTTTGTTCAAGTGACTAATTTGATTCAGATTTTCTACTTAAAATGACTAATTTGACTTAACAAAACTNAACCAAATTGAGTCTTGAGTGACTAAAATAAGTATAAACTCTACTAAAATTTAACAAGTTTTTAGCATTTTATACAGAGTAAAAAAGAATAAGACTTTATTTGAAAACAACATTTTTTATTAGCGTTAATTTGATTCACATAACTAGAAAATGTGAATCAAATTAACCCTTAATGAAATATTTATATACTAAAATTCTAAGTTAGCACGTTATTTGACACACAAACTAATACACTAAGTCATTGCTCTAGCATCAATTAACATGATAATTACAATTTTTAACAGATAAATTTTGTTCAAGTGACTAATTTGATTCAGATTTTCTACTTAAAATGACTAATTTGACTTAACAAAACTTATAGGAACCAAATTGAGTCTTGAGTGACTAAAATAAGTATAAACTCTACTAAAATTTAACAAGTTTTTAGCATTTTATACAGAGTAAAAAAGAATAAGACTTTATTTGAAAACGACATTTTTTATTAGCGTTAATGTTTTTGATAAAAACTTAGAGCTTGTTAGGGAATACTGTTTTCGATTCACATTAGCGTTTAGGATAAACGTTAACGATGCAAATTAATTTTGAAAATGTTAATGTTAAATATTGTTCGTTGATAGCCTTTTTTCAAAATGTTAATACTAACTTATAACATTATTTTCAAACATGTCCTTAATGATTTAGATTTAATTTTGAAAATATGAACGTTGTTAAATGATAGCATTTGATGATTTTTTTAAAATGTTAGTGTGACTTTGTTTGCAAATGGAGCCTAAATTGCAAACGTACTCCGTAGACCGTAACGGAAGAGGCAATTAAAGCCAATGGAGGGGGACACTTGTCGTAGAACCACAATGCACCCTTCCCATGACATGAAATTCTGTAGTTTTTTTTCCCACAGAGCGTTGTTTTTCTTCCACAGTACCACGATAACTTTGTTTGTAATTGATTACTCCCTCCGTCCCACTGTCTTTGTCCACTTACCTTTTAGCACACCATCCAATGCACTTCTTTAATCTATTTTATCCTGTAATTTGTATATTAAAAAATTATAAAAATTATATATTAATAATCTATATGTTAAGACGAATCAAACAAGATCACACATGACTATTTTTAGGCTTACACATTGAGAGAATTTGATGAGTCAAAGTGCTTAGATGAACAGTTTCAAAAGTCAAAAGTGGACAAAGACAGTGGGACGGAGGTAGTATTTAATAAAATAAAATATGTTTGTTGTATCTTGTTTTATAGATTTTTTATCAATTTTTGAACGGTATAATTTTAACTTTTTATTTCTCTGCCAATTTGTAAATAAAATGATTTTAAAAGAGATGTATTTTGCACGTCATTCAAAATATTGCTTACATTTTGGGACGGAAGGAATATAATATTAATGGTGCAAATTAACATGAAAATACTAAAGCTAAAAACAAAACTAGATAGCGTTTTCAAAACATTAAAGTTAAACGGTGAAACTCATACCAAATATAATCAAACAACTTTAGACTCATGCTCATGCATATATGTACTGTTTTGAAAAAGTGTAAAAAAGATAACATTTAGATTTGATTCTGAATAAAGTATGATCATGCGTAGCATGAGTTCCTAACCTGTACTATGTACAAATCTAAATCTTGACTTTGGATCAAGTGAGAATGCGATCTAATTAAAGAAATAAGAATGCATCTCGTGCATTAGATGTATGATCTTAGGATTTAAAAAAATTCAAAAAAATTGAAAAAAATCTGGAAAAAACGCGATGGCATTATGGTAAATAAGTTGAACTTTAGTCCAGAAAATGCACTATCACTCAATTTGTTAACACTCAATTTGTCTCTTGGAACCTAGAATGGGGTTCATTTTCATCCTTCTTCAATTAAACTAAAACTAAGTTAAATGCTAAAACTGATATTAAAACAAGATTAAAGAAGAGAGTGGATAAATATAGAGATATCATAGTCTGATACTGTAACACCGCCGCGCAATCTTTTCCATTCCATCTGGTAAATTGATTGGAGAAATATTAGCCTTTCTTAATATTATTATCCCCATGCCTTTCTCATTGCCACTATTAAACCCTCTTTCAGATTTCTTAACCCTCTCCAATGGCGGCTGACTCTCAACAGCCCACCATTACGAAGGTGAAGATGAAATTGGCCGATTCGAGTCGTCGAAAACTACTCAAAGGTGAAAAAGTTGAGGTAACTGTTCATCTACTTCTTTTCCTATTCTTTTATTGGGTGTTTGTGTGTAAGTTAATGTACACTTCTTCGTGAGTAGTAATGGCATGAGTTCATTATTTCTGGGTTTTTTTTAATCCAACATTTTTTTTTGTCCGGTGAATTTGTCCCGCATTTGTTTTTCTTTAATGCTGTGCTCGGCACTTGTATCTGTAATGGGGATTGATGTGTTGGTTCTGCTGGCTGCATGTGGTTTTTCTTGAGTGTTTGTTCAATTATGGGCATTGAATTTGAGGGTTTGAAGCTCAATTTTGATTTCAGTCTCAGTTTGGTTTCTGGGTTTTGGTTTACTGTACATGCAAATCATAATTTGGGTTGTTAATGTGGGAAAGAGATCTATTGATGCCTTCAAAAGAAGTTTCCTGTTTAAGCTATGGTTCAATTTAGTGGTTTCTGCATATATATCACTGAGGTAATTTAGTGCTGGGTTCCATTTAATTTATTCCATTTTTGCTCTCCAATTCAAGAATCTAAGACCCTTCATTAAAAACACAGAATATTAGACCTTACCTAGGATTATGTGGCTATTGCAGGTGAGGAATACTGAAGATGGGTTCCTGGGCTCGTGGCACACTGGGACCGTGCTTAAGCGGGGAAGATTAATGTGTCATGTAAAGTATGATCACCTTCTATGTGAGAATGGATCGACCAACTTGGTTGAACTGGTGAAAGTTAGTTCCATGATTGATGGGGTTGTACCTGCTGAGTGGGACCCTGATAATTATCGCGGTGTGATTAGGCCTTCTCCACCTACACTCGACATTGTGGACAGGACTCTTCACTATGGAGAATGTGTCGATTTGTTTTACCAGGATGCATGGTGGGAAGGTGTGATTTTTGACCGTGATGATGGTTTGGAGAACCGGAGGGTGTTCTTTCCGGATATGGGTGACGAAATGACAGTGTGTGTCAAAAACCTGAGGATCACACAGGATTGGAATGAGGTTACTGAAGAATGGAAGCCCCGTGGCAATTGGATATTCCTTGAAATTGTTGATGAAATGGGGAAGAAGCTACCCCTTGTAGTGTCTGTAAAGCAAATCTGGTATGAAGTACGGGAGAAGAACGGGTTTAAGGATTGGACAATTTCTGTAAGGGATTTTTGGAGGGGATCAATATCTGTAGTTCTATTTGATAATTTGAAGATGACCATCACTCGGTTTCTAAGTTTATTGAACTCTGCACAAGGGTTTCTTCAGGATGGGCAATCACTTGAGTTTTCTCAACTTCCTCTTAATGATATATTGGAATCTGTAGAATTTATTGATAACCTTCTTGCCCTGGACCGTACTGAGGTGCTTCCTAACAGCTTCAATTTATCCAGGATCCAAAAAACTCTCGACGAGGAAATCGTCCCAATGGATATTGCTCCGACCATAGATGTAGTCAGTACCAGTGATAAGAATTTGGAATTCCTGGCCACACAAAACATTGATGAAATGCTATTAGATGGTCATGAAGAACTTCATTGTAAAAGCTCCAAACTGTCTATCGAGGATATTAAATGCTCACAAAACAAAACCAGACTGAAGTGGTCTGCTATTGAGCTTGAAGCACAGTCTTTTCCTGAAGCACTTGAATCCGTAAGGGCAGGTTATCGAGCTCCGCATGATATGGTGGTGAAGTTAAGAAAACATCTTTTACATTTGGGGTGGAAGATTGAGTATGCAATTGATTACCAAAGGAACCGGCCAATGACTAGGTTCAGGTACTTTCCGCCTTCTGGACCTGTATTCATGTCACTTGTAAAAATTTGTGAGTACTTGCACACACAATCCGTACGTAACCAAAGAACCAAACGGGAGTGGTCTCCCATTCCCCTTGAACCCAAGCTTTTCCCAAAAGCAGTGGAAGAATACAAAAGATTGATTCAGTTGAATATTCGACCTCATAAAGGTTTACATGCTCAAGTAAGGAGACATCTTTTGTGTATGGGATGGAAAGTTGAGTATGCAGTTGATACGCATAGGGTTCGGTATGTTTCACCCTGTGGAACTTTAGCGCAGTCACTTGTACAAATTTTAAAGGGTCTGGACACTCTTTCTGCGGTACCCCTTCACCACCAAACAAGTGGAGATGACTCTCAGACTTCTATGGATGAAATTATTGTTTCTGAGTATAATCCTCAGGCAGTGATTGACTATGTATCCAATTGGTCTGTGGACACACAACCCAAAAGTAAACAGAAAAATGTTGCAAAGATTGCAAATGAAGCTAAACAACATCTAAGTTATAGTGGATGGAAAATGTCTTATGAGTGGAAAGGAGATAAGAAAAAGGTTCAATATATGTCCCCTTATGGAAAGATATGCTACTCACTTGTAACAGCCTGCAAACGGTATCTTGTGGAGAATGCATGGCCTAACAGTGATGCTTCTTATCTCACTGGGAAAAGCGAGTTTGCACATGATGACATGGAGCATGTTCAGCCAGGTCATAGTGCAGCGAGCAAGAAAAGGAAGTTTATGGCTTTAAATACGGCTGGAGATGCTGTTGCAAGTTCTCAAACATCAACTCGTGTGCTAAGATCGTATAAAAGAGCTAGGCAGGTGGGTCCAACTTCTCACCAAACTCCTCGCAGTGTTTTATCTTGGTTGATAGACAATAATGTGGTTCTACCTCGAACAAAAGTGCATTATCGTGAAAGGGATGATAGTCATCCAAAGAGGGTGGGGCGAATTAGTTGTTATGGAATCAAATGTAATTGCTGTCAGGAAATTTATGGACTTAGTAACTTTGGAGCTCATGCAGGAAGCACCGATCACAGTCCTTCAAAAAATATATTTTTGGAAGATGGAAGGTCAATACTAGAGTGCCAACTTGAGATGAAACGTAAAATTTATGCAAAGAAGAAAGAACCTCGTTTAAAGAAAGTGAGTCACAATATCAGAACAAATGACTATATATGCTCCATCTGTCGTGACGGTGGTGAACTAATCCTATGTGATATGTGTCCATCATCCTTTCATCCCGGCTGCCTTGGCATGAAGGTATTTATCTCTCTATAACTGCTATTTAATGCTTTTGCTTTTATTTGTGTTATCTTATTTTATCACATCTATAGTTGATGAGAAAATCAAAAGGGTAGAGTGAAACAATGTCCATTTTCAACAAAATTTGATTTTCTTGATCAGGAGCTTCCAGACGGTGATTGGTTCTGCCCGTTTTGCTGCTGTGGAATCTGTGGTTATAGCAATGATTTATTTGCGGCTAATAATGCTGTCAACTGTTCTCAATGCGAGAATCAATGTAAGCAAATCTGTCTTTTCTGCAGTTTAACTTTTGTCTTTAGAATAAAGTATACATATACTGGTATATGTATGCACACAAGCACACACGTAAATAAGATTTTTTTTTGGTTTTTTTTACACAAATGACCATGCAATGGATTTTCGCAGATCATGTCGGCTGCATAATAAATAATGGGCTTCCAAAGCCTGGAAGCTATCCTGAAGGATATTGGTTTTGCAATAAAAAATGCGAGCAGGTATGATGAAGCAAGTGCTTCATGCATCATGGTACAAACATCGGCATATGGTGCACAGTAAAATATTGATGTGCAACTTAAAAATCTGTCGTGGATATTTATACTCTTTGCTTTCCAAAAGAGAATTTCATGTTAGACCACTTTACTTATTTTCTATGCTCATTTGATAAAATCATAGTTTTGTCATTGTGTTTTTTATAACTCTTGATAGTTGATATCATTTTTAAATACAGATTATATAAACTCTATATTTTAAGTTTTCAACATTTTCAAATAAATTTATTGAAAATAACCTGAAGAGCCTTCGTGGGACGGAGTGAGTAGTACATTTAGAGTAAGTTTCGAATCAAGAAGAGATGGCTGCTTGATTTCTTCATAAGTTAACACAGTATTAGTTTGTCAATACATTGTGAAAGTGATATGTATTTATTATGTTGTTTTAGACTGATATTTGGTTTAAATTCTTTGCAGATATTTTTTGGTCTTCATAAGCTTTTAGGAAAACCAATA